GGGCTGGCATCCCTCGCTGCAGAGGACAGCGCGGTGGGAGGCAGGGCTTCAGCCACTGCCCAGATCACCAAACTATCAACGCATATTGCAGGACACAGCTAATGCCATTGGCAAGGTAATGATGAGTCTTAAAAACCAAAGTCTGACAGTGCTGTCCCAAAACAAACCCCTCCAGAAAGCTGCACAGGAGCACCGTATGGTGTGGCAGAACCACAAAGCCCCCTCGGGGATGGCTCCCTCGCAATTAGCAGCCCACCAGGGTAACGGACGTGGAGCTCTGGTTCCATTCGAGTGCTAATCATTGCTCAGCAGCCCCAAGAATCCTTAAAAAAATAATGGAAACAGTCCAAATGAGCAGAGCCACTATGAGGAAACCAAGGCAAAGCCAGTTTTGGGGACATTTTTGTCATTCGCCTGCCACCTCGTGGGGAAGATGAGAGAAGAACCAGCAATGAAGTTCTCCGCCACAGCGATGCTCGCGAAGGCTCATCAGTCATTTCAACCCTTGCGCACCAGCATCTTCAACCCTAGCCGATGGCTCTAGGTGCCCAGAGGAAGCAGGGTTTCAGGCAGTGCTTCTGCACACCCACCTTTGACAAGTCACCCCATCAGACGTGCTCCCCGAAACCCGCAGGCTGGCCAAAACCGCACAGAGACTCAAGCCCGTGGTTTCCCCAAATTCTCATCTTTTCCTCCTCAAACAAAGCGCACATAACGAAGAAACGGTTCATGCCGTGCCGCCAGCCCCAGTTTTACCTTAGGCCCAGGATAATGCATGCCACAAGAGGAGGGGTTAATGACAGCGGTGCGCTGTTAGCAGCACTCAAAGGACAGCAGAAGACTAGGAAGAGCGAAGAAAATCAAGAATTAAACCCAGCAAAATACATTTGCCCTTACTGGAAGTGACTCCAGGGCTTGAGAAGAAAGCAAATCATCCGAGGTGAAGTATAAGCGAAATAATGTGTTTTAAACAAAATGACTATACTAAAATAAGCACACAGGACACGTTTTGAATCACCATCACAAACGTATCACCGCCCTTCAAAGCTGTTTTAAAAAACGTGGACTTCGTCCAAACCAAAGCCAACAGCAAATCCACCGAGTTCAGTGGGAGCACAGCTGGACACTCACGTCACCCGAGGAGTTGCTGTCACGTAATTCAGAGTTGGAAATCAAACAGCACCATCGATTCTGTTCTGCAAACAGCCTCTGGAAGATGCTTAGCGCAGCAGCGGAGCCACACGAAGTGAGAAACTGCCTGATCCACTGAATAAAGGCAGAAAAAGCAGACAAGAGCCTCTAAGTCAATCACAAATCAGTTCTGATATTTGCTCAACGCTTCTGCCAACCTCCCAAACAACACACCACACGCGCTGGTCTGGCAGAACTCACTGGGAAGCGCTGCTCTGCTCTCCAAGCAGCGCTGCAGAAAGACCCATCCACCGCTACCTGTTACCGCATCTCCCGGGGCCGGGTGTCGGAGGGAAAGGATTACCCTGCTGCAGCAGCAGCCGAGTCAGCTCGAGACCGAGCCGTTCGTTTTCTTTTTCATATTCGGTGGTGATGGCGTCCCGCTCCTCCGTCAGGGTGCGGACGTGACCCACGTAGCTTTCCACCTAGGAACAAAGGAAACATCGCTGTGCCCCAGCGGGTTTACCAATGCCTCGCCAGCGAGCTGTCGGCACAGCCAGCTCTCCATCCCCCCCGTATCTGCAGAGTAAGCCCCAGCGTTTGTGGGACACAGCCCCTTTGTGCCGCTGCGACTTCTGGGGGTGTTCAACGCTTGAGGGAAGGGTCTGGAGAGTGGGAGGGGGGGGCTGGGATGCAGGGACTCTCAATCACGGCTCTGTGGGCGACGCTGGGCTCACCAGGAGCTTTTCGGTGCCCCAGCGTGAGGAACCGGGCCGCGCACCGGGACTTCTCGTGGGCGAGAGGAAAGCAGCTCCCGGCTGCCAACGGCCCTGATCCCGCTGCTGCGAGG